ACAGTCGAATATTCGCTGGGTGTTATGATCATGCCATTTTGGCTTATATGAGGGTGCTCAAATGTCTGATTTCACATAGAACTACTGGTTTTCTCCCAAAAAGTGAATATACAGCCTATTAAAATAATGCTGTAAATAAGAATCTGAAAGGAAAGAATCTTCAAATAAATATTTTAATGTGCGGGAATAAATCCAACCACCCCTATAGATTTAAGTTTCACTTTCCATAATCCGTGACCGACAGAGGAGCATCTTGGTGGCAGGGATTTAAAACTTTAACAAGACTCAAATTGACACAGGCAGAGTGAAAGACTGGATTTTTTCAATCAGGTAGGGTGATTTCAAAACATTTCAGCCGGTTTATTATATCGTGTATATATTATTTATCTCATATAAGATGCATTTGGTTGAGTTGCGCTGCAGTAAAGCGCTTCATTGTAGTACTACGGTGATTATCTCTTTAGCGTGCAGCGCGAGCAGGACAAACAACAATGCAGAATATTAATAACTATGACTGGGACTGTCATATACATAACAATTATAATGAGAACACTGTTATAATAAAATGCTGTGAGTTTTTAGTTTAGTTGCCGTGTTTCTGCACGTTGTTGCGTGAGGAAGGCGTCCACAAAAGGAGTTCATTCAGAGCCGCACAGACACGTTCAATCATTCGGGGCATTTTGTGCAGATAGCCTATAAGTCGTAATATTAACGTTATGTTGAATAAATAACGAAGCATATTCTATATGAGATAAATGATGAGTTAAATCCCATTGATTAAAAACCTGCTGCTTCATTCTACTGGTCATCTTCAGCGTGCGCAGCTCAAAACAGAAATGCATTATGGGCCGTCCTTAGCTGACGTGGGGCCCGGTGTGAGGTAGGGAGCGAGGCCCCCCTCGGTCCGTTTGTGAACGCGTTCCGGGGTGTAGGGTCCCACTTGGTCCGTTCGCCACGGGGCCCGGTGGGACCGCACCAGTTGCACCCCCCTAAGGATGGCCCCGCATATACATAACGTTATAATGAGAGCACTATTGTAAAAAATTTTGTGAATTCTTAAGGTTTAATGTTAACTATCTTTTAATCAAAACATAAAACATTATTTAGCCTACCCTGTTTGTATCTGCGAGGTGTCCATTACACATTTTCCCTGTGTGTTAACGTAATTATGGCTGTCGAATGTCTGACGTGACTCTTGGTAATGTATTTTGCCCCGCCCCCAAAATATATGATTCGACTATCAGTCGAATATCGGCAACATTCGAAAATTACGATTCGACTATGAAAATCCTAAACTATTTAATGGAAAAGTTCACCAAAAAAGGAAAATTCTGTCATCATTTACTCACTGTCACTGTCAGAATGTCCTAGTGAATCTTTACCATGCACTGGAAGTGAATATTACTTGTTTGCTCTATTGTCTATAAGTCTTCTGAAGACATTCAAGAGGCTATTTGCTATATTATTATATGTTTTCACTCCACTGCAAATCTTATTTATGATCTTATAAACTAGCATTCAAAGGTTTGGGGTTAGTTTTTGAAAACTGCTTATGCTCACCAAGGCTGCATTTATTTAATGAAACATGCAGTAAAAACAGTAATATTGTGAAATATTTTTACAATTTAAAATAAACATGTTCTATTTTAATACATTTTAAAATGTAATTTATTCCTGTGACACAGCAAAGCTGGATTTTTAAACATTTTATATTATAAATGTTGAAAATTGTTTTGTGTTTTTTGTGGAAATTGCGAACATTTTATTTCAGCATTCTTTGATGAATAGAATTTTTTTCATAGAAAAACAGCATAATGTAACATTATAAATGCCTTTACTGTAAATTTTAATCAATGTAATGCATCCTTCCTAAACAGAAGCATTTAAAAAAAGATAAGTCTTGCTGACACAAACTTTTGATCAGTAGTGTATATTCCAATATGGCAGATTAATGACGTCAAATGCCATTGTTTCCATTGACCCATATTTGAATGTACGTGAACTCCAGTCATATTTAACATGATTTTCAGCAAATAATGGTTTGAATTAGTGCTGGGCGGTATGACCAAAAATTTATATCATGGTATTTTTCAAAATTACATGACGGTATTATTTTTTCATGCATGACCGGGAGTTAACCATATTTTCTACTGATTGAGAGAGGAAATACTGCAGTATATTGACTTAGAATGCCCTATTTTACTGTCATGATGAGTGAATATTGTCAAAAAATACCACACTAAATAGTGACTAAACACGACCCCTTTTAATACATGTTAACCAGGAGTCACTCTCATTTATAATCGTGGTATCGTCTGATAAAATCAACATGCATCTACACTAAAGAGCGGCTTTGCGGTTGTTTTGGCTATATTACTTTTTTGTCTTATGCAGTGCACTGCCTGCGTCTGAGTAACAAAGAGTTTAGTCGGCACAAGATGGCGGTGTACCTTCTTTTAATAAATTACAAGAAAATACAACAGGGTCTTTATTTTTTTTACTTGAATTTCAGCTGCATAACAAGAACATGACCAATTTAAAAAAAATTTACCGTCAACTACAGACGTTGTATCCATCGATTCCGCCATGTTTCTCATTGACACGCCCCCAACTCGGAAACTCGGGTCTT